GGGAAAGAGCCTGCTGGAAAGAGATTCAGCCTATGCTTCTCCCTGTCAATTTTTTTCCAGGTCACTATTATTTAAAAATGGGTTTTATATGAATTGCTTTTCTAATTCTGTTGTTGAGAAGAATTACAGTTCAATTGCTTTATACATGAAACCACTAGAGGAAACTCAAGTGACAACAGGATCGTTCCCAGTGATTTCATTATGTAGCATAGATTGTACCATGTGTTGGTGCCTGTATCATGTTAAAGCATCATTCCAGACCCGAGAAGAGTTGGAAGACATTTCAATTTCAGTCCTCACTTGGTTCAGATGTGATTGTGTGAGGATTATAGTAGGGCGACAATTTGATATCCACCGTAGATGATATAGCTGTACATACTAATATATCATAGCTTGTGAAGCTTTAATGATACAATATTCTTGTAAAAAAATAAAACTTGTGGAAGAAGAGTTCTGGGCATGAAGACACATGAGATTCGCAAGTAGGTCCTTCAGAGAAGGGACATATGTGGCATGAGTGATTTCTATTGCCTCTAGGATCCATAGAGCCTGAAATCCACTGGGAAAAGCCCCTGAACTTGGTAGATGGCTGTCAGGTCTGCCCTGTTCCTTGTCCTCCCATCTGGACCTCATTATGGTAGCTGTTTGTTTTTCAAGACCTGTGGTAGCAGTTTTGCAAGTAAAGCAAGTGTTTTCTCCGACAGTCATCTTTTACTCCCTTCTTCACACATGCATACAATATAATACCAGAAAAGTGGACAGAACTGTTCTGTTAAAGAAAAGCCTTGAACAAACCCAGACTACTGCAACTAAAAACTGCGTTTGCTGGCAGAATGATTGCACAGCATCAACTTGTTCTGTGTCTGTTCTGATGAGTGTGGCTGGTCCCATGCTCTGTGTATGAATTCAGCGTAGAAAATAAAGTGACTACATGGCCAGGAAAAAGCATCTTTAGTTAAAGCAATGCCACTACTTTTGTGTCTCATCTTCCTTTGTATTATGTCTAGGTGTAGTTAAAATAGAGAGGTACAGAGCCCAGACATCAGTTTCTGTGAATAGTAATTTGTGAACATTGGTAACCTGCTGTCTTTTTCTTTTAAAAATACTGTTTGAATTAGTATAGTACAACCACTGTACTTTTTGAAGGTAGAGCCTAAGAGTGGTTTATTGTCAATTATAAATAATCATCATTTAATTGGTGTCAGAAGCTGCTCTGTTTGTTGCATGAAAGTGTTTCCTTGCTCAGGAAATGTAATTCTTAAAGAAGAGATCCAAAACTGCCTATATGTAGCAGCTAAATTAGCATTATTTCATTATACAACATTTAAGACTCCTGTTTGATCCCGTGTTGATATATTTCCTTCAAAATGAAAATATGCAAGAGTTTAGAGCTGTATAAATAAAAGAGGGTGAGAAAAATTGGCACCCCAGAATTCTGATCTGCATCTACTTCCAGCTCTGTCTATCAATTTAGGATTGATCCTCCAGTTACTTATACATGTGCTTAATCTTAGGCATGTGAGTAGATTTACTGAGTTTCAAAAGAGTTTCTGGCTGAAGTCTCAGGTTGTAAGTTCTGGTCCAGGGACGTACCCTTGCATAAATCTACCTAATGTATAGCACACCATAGGGGCCAACATCAGCAACAGCGACATTAGTAATACGTAAAGAATGTAGCTGCATTCCCACTAAGTATTTTAGGCAAGCAGAATTTTATTTTAAAGAACTTAGGAGAAAGGTAAATACCAGCAGGATACTAGGGTTTGCCTGAGTTAAATGCTATGAATGAACCAGCTATGTACTAGTGCATTTTTTGGATAAGATCAGTTTATTTGTTCTGTGTTTGGAAAACACTGAGCACAGTAAGATCATGAGTATTCCTACATCCTCTTACAAGAAAATTGTTGTTTGGGATGACAAGTGGCAGGAAAATTAAAGTTATACTGCCATTATTTATTTGCACTTAAACATCACAACTGGATTTCTGAAAGAGTTATCAAGAAAGTGCTTCCTCTATCCTTTATGCAGTAGACAGTCCTTATTTTACCCTTACGGTGCCATCCCACATGTTCATTACCTTCTGTGAACATCTCCCCTTCCTTACATTTTCGTTTCCTCCACCAGACACTGAAGGATGCCAGCGACAATGCACGCAAGGACTTCCACCGTGAGGCAGAGCTGCTAACTAACCTGCAACACGAGCACATCGTCAAGTTCTACGGCGTCTGTGTTGAGGGTGATCCACTCATCATGGTCTTTGAGTATATGAAGCACGGAGATCTTAACAAATTCCTCAGGTAAATCCACGAACACATACTGTGCTGGAGAGCCAGAAGTGGGCAGAGAAGGTAGGTGTTGCTGGTACTTAATGTCAAATTAACTACTAGCACTGGAAAATGCCGACACCTAGGAGGGCAGATCTGTGCAGTTCTTGTCTTCTGTATTGGGATGTGGCACTCATTGTTTCTTTGCCAATTTGGAAGAACCATTAAGTCAAGCTTTGCTCCAAAGGAATGGGAACCAAAGAAATACTGTTTTCAATATATTTCAGTGTATTTTGAAATGTTTGGTTATAAAAATTACAGTAGGAGTCATTTTCTTGCAGTCTTTCTGGTAGCACTTGGGAAGATCCCACTCAACACCTTTAGCTATCTGTAGGCGTCTAAGAGCTTTTGAAATCTAACCCCTTTTCTCTTCCCTCCTCTCAGTGTTTTGGAAAGACTGCCATTAATCTGAAGCAAGAAAACTGAGCCATGGAAACTTCAGTGCAATGGAAAATGCTACATCTTGGGGTCTGGATTAGGGCTTTATTTCATAAAGCTCTTCAGGAATGTGCATCTGAAATTGAAATTTGGCAATAAAGCAGTTATAAATAAATAGATGATACCTAAGGTTCACAATAATAGGTAACTCATGAACCAGGAAGTTATGAACAGTGGCCTTGTGTATGTGCCATTTCCACTACCTTGCACTCATCAACATAAAAATAAGCAGTTAAGAGACAGCTTTTGTTCCTATGTTAAAAAAAAAACCCACATTTGCATAAAGGACTGTTCTTTCAAGGTCTTCTATGTGATTTTCATCAAAGGATATCACAAAGGCGTTTCAAATGTACTAAGATCTCTCCTGCCAGAGATAACTGGGGGTACCGCTATTTTGGAAAGATATCTGTGACAAAGCTTTAAAACAATCAAAAATGATGTTTCTTTAAATGTGTTCGGGTTTTCTGTCTTGCTGAAATGGTTAGTGACTGCTACTGTTGCCATTTATGCATTTTTGATAGCCTATGTGAAATGAGTTAGTTTGCTGTCTTTCTAATCTCCACTGAACAAATAGCCACACCATAAAAGCAAATTACATCAGCATTAACATCCTCCCTTATTGGCAGGGCTGCCAGGTTTGGCAGGGAGTCTGGGGCCTGAACTGGGGATGCAGAGCAAACACTATTACTTTTCCCAGACTGATTGTCTCTCTGGCAGAGGATTTAAGTATATTGTCAGAGCCATGTCGGGGCATTTACCTTTGCCTGCTTGGACCTTTGCTGTGGATCAGGAGAGGACTGCAGTTTCCTGAAGATGCCATCCCAGTATTTTTTCAGAACATTGAATTTCTGTTAGAAGAAGCCAGATTTGCAGCTGATAACAAATAATTCCTCATTTGTTAAAAAATACTTATTCTTTGATTCTTTCTGGTTGGCCTTTTCCTACCTCCTAACTCTGATTTTGAATTACTGTATAGAAAGGTAGTTTAGCAGACAGTATATTTCCTAGTTTGGGTCTTCTCTTTTTTTTAATTACTAATCAGCCCTTGTCTTTAGGACATAAAATGATTATGCTGGGACAAGCTGTTAAACCTAAGCTCCAATTTGTCATTCCTCTCACATTTGCTGCAGCTTGTGCTGCAGATCAGACGTTAGCTGTAAGCGGGCTGTAAGGCCATGTATTTCTTACCCTGCAGCGCCACCAAAGGCTGTCGGGAAAAAATTAATCAAAAATTTAACCCAAAAGAGACTTGCTGTCTGCATGCAACCAAAGGCTGTTTCAGATCTAGGACTAAAGCCTCAGTCATGCCTGCCCTGTGCTTGTTCTGGCTAGTGGAGGCTGATGTGTATCCAAAGGAATCTCTTTCAACGTTTCTGGCAGTTGCAGACACCAAGGAGCACCTCATTTACAGCAAGCACCAAGAGGACAAGCAACGTGGATGGAGTGTTAAGAATAATTCAAAAGTTTCATTGGATACAGACCATGTCCTCAAGGAAGCTAGCAAAAGATGAAGAGTTCTTTAATTTAGTGACTCAGAGCTTCATGTCTGAGAGCAGTCATTAAAAAAATCCATGCAATGAAAAGGTACAATGTTTTTCAATAGGAATTTGCCTGTGAGTCTTGGTTGGAGATTCATATCCTCCCATTTATTCCCCCCCAAACCAGACTAGTTGAATGGCTGCCTGTAGGTACCCCATGGCAGAGAGTTTCTTTGCCTGGTACCAGATGCAGTCCCAGCAATGCTACACACCCTTCTTCATTTCTTTCTTACATCTGTCACTTTGCTCATGAAGTTCTTCCCTTGGGGCAATTTTAATATTATACTTCTAATAGGTAGTGTCAGATTTGATCTCACAGATTTTGATTAATTTGCAACTCTTTTCCAAACTCCTGTGCCCTTCCCTTAGGGACAAATTAAGGCCTCACCTCTATTGATTAGAAAGGTGAATGTCTGAAACTCTTCTTTGTAGGAAGGAAGGAAGGACTTTTGAGAGAAAACAAAAATCAGTTCTGGAGTATTTTTCAAAAAAAAAAAGAGTTGAGGAGGGAAGGACAGAGGTCGTCTCTTAGAAAGAATAGTCTGTTTTAGGAATGCAATAAAAGAGGCATCTGAAAACCCGTAATAATGGAATGGATGGAGAGGGATATTCAGACTATTGTAAGGTGTGTCAAATGAGGAATGAATGCCAGATGATCTCATTAATTGGATAAGGTTTAGCTAGTAATGCTTACTGTTAAATGTTGTGTGTAGGAATGTTTATGTCTGTATCTTCAAATACTGCTAGAATGTTAAACATGTATACCAGAGCTAACATAGTTAAAATGAGTGAAGCACATGTGTTCCAGTACTCTGCTGGGCTTCCCAAATGCAAAAAGGCTCTCCTTCTGCTGAAGTGTATACATGTTTCTCATGAATCAGTTGACTATTGCATCTTGGGGACTTCCTAAGTCTTGAAAAGCTCGTATCTATGAAGCTGTTTAGTTGTTCCAAATAGTGTATGTTTTGTGTCCTCTTCCTCTTGTCAAGAATTCCTGTTTCAGGCAGGACTCGTCCTTTGTGATGATATAAGCAAAAATGGTTTCCTGCTGTGCTTTTGGATAGAAAATTAGAAATGTAAATCTAAAATTGCTGCCCTTGTTTCTCAGATGGCATCTCAGAAGGAAGTTAGCTTTTTCTTCTTTAAGAAAAGGTGGAAGGGTCAATGGTCTGTCTCCCTGTAGAAATCAAGGAATGCTAGTCATAGGAAAAGTGATGCTATACATACCACTTCATTGCCTTTCACTCTATTGCCTTTCACTCTTACAGAGTGGTAAGGTTTTCTGCAGTTACCAAACGGCTACATTTGCCAGCCTTTCTGCAGAAAAGATTACTAGGACAGAACAGAGAAGGGTGGTGGTTTCAGAGGGAGGGGTATTATTATGAATGCATGTGCCTTGTCTCCATGAGTAATATATCACCTGTTGCGTAATGCTCTTCACACCACCTGTCTTTCACACAATGAAAAAAAACAGTAAATGAAAAAAGCCAAGATACATATTTTCCCCTATTTCACCAATTAATTTGTAGCCCTTATTGTTACTATATTTGAGCAAGTCGGTTGTGTGGTTTTAGGCTCACTAATGCCTTTCACCTCTCCAGCTTACAAGTGGCCTATCACTTAATCAGCTGGTATTTTGGTGCAGGGCTCATGGACCAGATGCAGTACTGATGGCAGAAGGCAACCGTCCTGCTGAGCTGACCCAATCCCAGATGCTTCACATTGCCCAGCAGATAGCAGCTGGTATGGTTTACTTGGCATCGCAGCACTTTGTGCATCGGGATCTTGCTACCCGGAATTGCCTGGTTGGTGAGAATCTACTGGTGAAGATTGGGGATTTTGGGATGTCTAGAGATGTGTACAGCACAGACTACTACAGGGTAAGTGAACTGCTGTAATTGGTAAATAACCTAGGTATTGTTCAGTCATCTTACCGCATTGATGTGACTGATTCTTTTACACTCAACCATGTGTCTGCCAGGTAATTTAGAGGCTGGCGTATGGAGAACCTGGTTTTGAGTTAACAAAGTTATGGTAAATTTGGAGAGAATTAATCAGAGTAAGATTGGCATCTCCTGTTGTTTATATATGTTGGCTTTGTGTTCTAATAATAAATCATGGAAAGGTCTTTTTCTCTGGGCAGAAATTTTGCATGTTTTGCTTGCTCTTTAGTGAAAAAGAAGAAGCAGCAAATAAGAAGGAAGAGTGGGTAATCAAATTTGGCCCAACACTTTGAAGTTCTTAAAATATGTTCTTATATATTCCTAAGACAAGTGGAAATTATAACTTTCGGATATTGTATAATGTTTCAGTTCATTAGAGGAGGTCTAAGTGCTGGACAGCAGCACTGGACCAGTTATTTTACTCAGGAAGAGACTGGGTGAGAAATTGTTATACACGCAGCACCTGAAAATCTGTCAGTAAGTTTTTCCTGCTGTAAGCCAGGTCCTTAGTTCTATTACTTATGATTGAAGAGTTGTTTTGTGGTGGGGAAGACATCATGCTTGTTCATGCTGTGCCAGGCCGTTTTGCCTGAGCTTGGTTGCCATAAAATCGTCTCTGAGATTTGCAAAGGACTTCCAGGATCGCTAGGATAAACAGGACTGTGTACATCAGTTACTGTTGTTGATGTTGTCTTTGTACTATGTGGCAAGTCATGTAGTTGACAGCATTTGCTACCACGTTTGTAATTTCATGATTGGAACTGAAGCTTGTGGCTTGGGGAAGGCAATCCACGGGCAAGCTGTTAGTTTATAAACCCTAGATTTTATCCTGTAAGATAAGCCACTCGGCACCTTTAATCACATTTTCTGTATCTGCCTCGCACATGACTTGTTGCCAGTGAATTCCTTACAGATAAAATGAAAACCTCTTCCTTAGCCACCCAGTTTGGACTAAAGGAGACTGTCACCTCAGTGTCAGTGTTTGTGGGATGCCCGAAAAGAGATGTCTTAACATCGGACTGAGGCTGGACAGGGCAGGGGAAAGTACACACAAGAATTATTGTTGATTGTTGTTTCACTTCACAGCTGAGAAGTAACAGTCTCCTTTGTTTTTTGTCTTTTCTTTCAAAAGCTAAACCTAGTATTTAGTAAACATATGAGGCAGATTCCTCTTATATTTTGTTATTTTGGAAACTTGGCACTTCAAGCTATTTGGTCAATGTAAAACAAGCATGACTGCACTTCAGAACTTGGAACAATATACAGAATGGCAGTCACTGCCTCTGTTCATGTTTGCAAGGACACCAGTGAGCACCAAAGGCCAAGGTTTCTTAATTTTGCGTATGAAATATGAGCAATACTTGCTAGGACTGGAGGTGTGTCTCTGTTCTGAAATTTCAGTGAGACTGGATTTGTTTACCATGTTTGTCATTACACTTAAGAATGAATGACCACGCTTAACAGTGAGTGTTTGCAAAGGCCTTGACAGTTAGAAGCAGCATTTTGGAACAATAAATGTTCCACTTATATTTGGAAAAAATTAGTAACTCCCTGCTGCAGAAAAACTACCTGCAAAAAGGAATGGAGGCTAAGTAATCGTATGGGCTTCCTGGGCATGACTGAGGCCTGGCGTAGACATGTGATAACGTACTGACTGTGGTGTCATCTTACCTGCTCATGTACCTCTGGGTTTAATCCTTGAGTCTTACATGTGAGCACTCAAGCAAAGCTTCTATCCAATGAAGCACAAATTTAGAACAAGACCTATAACCTGAAGAAATCAGTGGTTCTTTTCAAAGGAAATTCTGGGTAATCTGGATAGTCCTTGGGTACCTCTCAAAGGACCTCCAAGAGGTACACTGCATTTCTCACTGCCTCTTACACAGAATCACTCTCTTCTCTCCTTCGTGTCTCCCTCTCCATCACTTTTTTTGAGGCCAAGGGAGAATCTGTGGTGTCCAGGGTGTAACAAAGGAGAAGAAAGAGGGAGTAGTGTGAAGAGGATACAATCCTGGATGTGAGAGAGGGAACAAATAAGGCAGGAGAGGTGAGTGTAGAGTGGTGTCAGTAAAAGTCACAAGTGTGAATGAAGGGAGAAGGAGGTAGACAAGTGTCACATGGGACGAATGAAGGTGTAAAGTAGCATGGCTCCATCCACCTTGATGGTGTAAGCTTGCAGTATGATGGATGGGTAAGAAACTTTAAAATTGGGTAGTCGCTTGTTCTGCACAGTGAGGAAAACAAGAAGGATAATTTCTCTGGTCCTTCATGTTCCAGTTGGCTTCTAGCTGGTGCAGAGAAGAGACAGAGCCACGGCCTGTTGTGCCTCCCTATTTCACAGTGATAAAAGTTGGAAGTTACAGTTGAGCCTGAGAGGTTTTGGCCTGCCCTGCTTGGGCCATATGTGGGTGGGTCAGAAACTGGTCATGAAACGGACAACGCTATGATGACTTTCCAGACGGTTGCCTGGAGAATTATATCCACAGCAGGACTAAGTAAAGAAACTGTCAGTAATGACACTGGGATGGCACCAACCTATCATACCTAATTGTTTATAGCAGGCTAAGTCTTTTTAATTGCTCAGGCTTAATCACATATATGGAAGCAATTCTTCCCCAACCTTGACAGCTTTATCTGATGCTTGTTGGAAGTATTTACACTGCCCCAAAAAGCTCTGCAAGAAATGGTTCGTCATTTGTGTTTATTAATACACTGGAATAATTTTTTTGGGATCCTACCACCCTGTCAAGATGTTAGATTTACCCAAGACGATTATTTATAGCTTGCCTCTGTAAGATAAGGATGATCCTCAGTCCTTGTTCACTGTTAGATTGTTAATGACATTCTGCATTGAATCAGCTCAGTTGTTAAGAGATGCTTCAGGGAAGAGGAGGAGAGAAATAACCCTTGGGCTGGGAATATATGTGATGCGTGGCCCTGATTGCACAAGTTTTCTGTTTTCTCCTTCGTTCTTTTTCCCTTTCTTTTTCATCAGGCAGGAATCTTGTGGGTGGGCGCAGGCCTGGTGTACATGCTAGCATTCAGTGGAACAGCAATAGTTTTCAATTTCCAGACCAGATGAGCCCAGGGACATGAAGAAACTGCAGTGGCTTTTCTTTCCCAGCATTGCTGTCCACCCCAGGCCAAACTAAAACAACTGTCAAGTAATTAGCATGGTCTGTGTGCCAAACAGCTCCATCGACACTCTCCTGCACTGCAGCCGTCGTAGCACAGGGGATCATTTCACAAAGTTACTTACAGAGCTTAGGTCTCAGGTTCTTTAGGGGCTTTTATTTGTTTTGTTGCTGTCTGATTTTTGTTGTTTGGACTCGCAACCCCCACACGTCAGGGTTTCCTATCTTTCCCTCTGATACCCAAGTAGTGTGACTCAGCAGTAGCTTTCAGTATTGACGCTGAAGCATGGGAACAACTACTTCACTAATATTTGTTCTTGCATTCAGAGATAGTATATCAGGCCCTTTTTAGGCTTCCAGTTCAGGTTTGCAAGTGGTTGCTCAGTACTTTTCAGCATTTCTTTATCATAGGCAAAAAGCTTAAAAAAGAAAAAAAAAAAAAAAAAAAAAAAAGGAAGGTCATCTTATCCCAGTACTTGGAAAAACTTAACAGGGATATGCGTTAAATATCTAGCCTGGTCAGCCAACTACAGGCTTGAGCCAAGGTTTTGGATGAAACTGTGATCTCACTGAAGTAAGCAAGAGCTTTGCCATTGACTTCATTAGGACCAGAGTTTCACCCTTCCACATTTTTATGTTTGTCCAGTGCAGGATAGAGACTCTGTTTCTGATTTAGATTTATGGAGCTCAGTTGTGTAATCCCTATTTAGGTATTGTATAACTTAGTTGCCTTTATGCAACAGCACAAGGAACAGTGGAGAAAATGAGGACTCCTTTCCTCTGCTTGCACAAACTGTGCAAGGATCTGTCAAAAGACTGGGTCTATTAGTGAGGTTTCTGTCTTCCTTTAGGCCCAGCTCACCCCAAAGGGACAGAGAGGTTCATAAGTCACAAATTAGTTTCCTCCACTTCTGGCACAGGTGGGGCAGAAGAACCCAAGAGGATGTGTTTCAGTATAAAGTCCAGTGACCCAGTTTCTCTTTAAAATCTTCTACATATTTTGTATCATGTTTTGCTATTTAAAAAGAACATAGCATGTAGCATTGGAAGAAGCAACACAGGTTACAGAACCCAAGCCTTCTACCCTTGCAGGAAGCCATGCAGTAGGTGTTAAGGCTAGGAGGAGCTTCAAGAACCTCAGACTTCCTCAAGCCACATGGAAAACCCCCACACTCGCTAACACTGTAGCCCCTTCTATATAAGGCACCAAACCCCATAAAAATTCTAGTCTGCCAGGGAAGAAGAGGAGGAGATTGTAAGGATGTCAACAGTGTCCTAGAGCCCTAAAGAGAAATTATGTTTGGCAAAAATTCTGGAGGGATCTTAGGAAGTCAGTCACAGCTGACACACAACAGGAGGTGACAGCATTCCCCATCAGTCTGTCTCAGTGACAATTACCTTCTGAGCTGGCAAACTGTGTAACGCTATGAGTGCACGAGCCAGCTGCAGCCACCTGGGGCATTACTGGGGTTTGGTGACACCCCTCAGAGCACATCTGGCCTGGTCACCTGTCCTCCGAGCCTCAGAACAGTGTAGGAACCAAAGCTGACCCAGAGCCAGATCATACAGCAAGAGGGGAAACAAAACTGCAGGCAAACAACACAAGTCCTGAAGAAAGACTTGACTTCAATAAATAAATACAGAGCAGCCTGCAAAATGCTGACAAGATTCTTCTCAAATGCCTCTCACGTATACAACAAAATTGGATAGCAGCAGTCTTGTGTCTCTGAAGCTTGAATTTCTAACTCCTGGATCACTCCTGTCCTGTCAGACAGCCCCTTCCATCAAAATGGTTGTTGCAAA